TAGTAATGTTTTTTTTTTACGAACTGCAACTATATAATAGTTGTTATTTCTATGTATATCTGTATATTTTTTTTGCTGTATAAAACAAACTTAAATTGTTGATAATTTTATTTTGTTATAAAATTCTATGAAAATCTTTATTTTAATTAATTAAATAACTTACTATCAATTTGATTATATGGTTCCATATTTCCAATATATTCACGAATTTGTATTCGATAATCATCTTTATGATTTGAAATACGAAATGATTCATACATTGCTATACGAGTTTCATTATGCCAATCAGTTAATTCAATTTTAAGACGACAATGATAATTATTTGTTAACCAATAAAGATTTTCATTACCAATCCAAAAATCTATTTGATTTAAAATATTACCAAAACCTCGACGATATTCAACCCATGTTCGATTAAAATTTATATGATTTGTTTGTCGATTTTGAATTAAAAACCATTCATAATATGTATGATTATTATGTAATATTGGACAAAAAAAATTCGATATTGTTTCATTTAATCCAACATGTAATTCTAAACAATGTGTAGTTTGATTTTGTTTTGGTTGAATAAATGTGTGACAAGAACAATCGATATTATTACTAGGAAAAAAAAAGAGCAAAGAAGAATAAAATAAAATCCAAAAATCATGATAAGATAAAGAAAATGTATTGATACATACTATTTATAATTAAATGATTGACTATGAGATTCATGATATAAAGTTTGATTATGATATGAATTTAAAACAGCAAGTATTTCGTCTTGTTTAGTATTAAAATGTTCAAGTTGAATATAGATAATAATAAGAATAATCATATAGAAAAATAAATGAATAAGAAGAAAATAACATCGTCCAATTGTAGTATTTGACATTGTTGATGTATATCTTTGAAAATTTACATTAGAATTATCTATTCTTGTTGTTGTATGTGGTAACATATGAATTAATTAATGTCGTAAATTTTATTTTAATGAAGTAGAATTAAGTTATTTAAATTGCTTTTTTTGAATGCAATGTATGTATATAAAATACGTCATTCATTCATTCATTCATTCATTCATTCATTTTTTTTACTAATCAAGATCTATAAATAAGAGCATGTTTATTTTCATGTCTAAAAGTAAAAGGTTTGCTTTGAAAGAAAAGAAAAATGTAGAAAAGGAAGAATAATCGAAGTAGCACGCAATTGCATCACATAAGATTGTAATACTATAACTTCCAGGGAAATGAACAACATAATTCAACCGTTTACCTCTTTTGACACTCGAATAATGAACGAGAGAGAAAAAAAGATTTTCTGCGTAAAACGTACGTAAAAATATGGTTAAAAATAAACTTAAGAGACTTCTGCTTCATTCTTGTACTTCTGGAGAATGGCTGATCAGAAAAATTTCAATATATATAAATCTTGATGAACAAAGCAAAAGTTTTTATTGTCTCGAAATTCTCAAATGCTTTTCTCCATGAGATATCACACTCGCAAGGAGTAAAAGTCCTCTTCTCCACCCTAATCGCTCAGCTACAATATGTCTGATAGAGCTGCTACTTTTTTTTTCCAGATATTAGACACTGCTTAGGTTGTCTCCTTTTCTTGGTTTCTTTTTCTTACCGTCGATTCGAATAAAAACATCAAAGTGCTGTGCGTACCTTCAAGGATCCATCTTTTCTTTTAACCAGAGTATTCAGCTCGATCATATATACTATGGTCGAAAAACCAGCGAAATAATATGTAAAGTTTGATGTTTTTTCAACTTTATATTTATAGATTAATTTGAGGTATGTCTAATAAATAGAGGGGATTCTTCGAAACATATATAGCGTAAAAAAAAGAAAGATCTGAAAATTTCCGGTAGGAAAAGTGAAGTTTTTCTAAGTATCAATCGATGTCAGAATAATACAAATATATATCTATATATTGCTTTCTAAAAAGAAATCAATTGATTTTTGACAGCTGTCTATATCAAATGAACGTTTCAGCAGTGAGAAAGAAAGAACTTCAAACACAATAAAAATTTTGACGATTTAATCGATGCATTTCAATAAACATATTGAAATTAAAGATTAATAATTATATTAATAGAATAAAGAATCTCATTTTTTTTAGTAGAATATCTTCTGAACCGTTCATAAATAAATTATTAATCATAGTAAAATTTAATTGAATGTAATTCAACAAGCACCAACTATGAGAAAAATAAATCTGATCTTCGGAGTGATACCCTCTTCTGGAGTCTAACACTGGATAAAGCATCGAGAAGGAAACCTTTTCAGATGTTAAAATTACTTTGCGACTGAGACGATATTCATTTGATAAATTATAGAAAAGTCTAGAATGGTTTGGTTTTTCAGGCTTTTCTCCTTGGGATATCGAAATTTTACTGAGTTTTTCAGCAAAAAGCTTTGATCAGGTAAAAAATTAACTTTCGACTTTGAACTTTGCATGAACAAAGTTCTTAATAGGACTAGTTGATTGTGCAACTTTTAACTTTTTTAGTATCTCCGGATAGGAGAGATTAGAAAAGTTAAAACTTATGCAATGAAGAACTAATCTCATTGAGAACTTTGTTCCTGCAAAATTTGAAATCGAGAGTCAATTTTTTACCTGACCGAAGTTTTTTATTGAAAAACTCAGTATAATTTCGATATCTCGAAAATGAAGATTCGGAAAAATAAACTATTCGAGACTTTTCTATTATTCATCAAATAAACATCTTCTCGATTGAAAAGCGATGTGACATCTGAAGAAGTTCTCTTGTGAATATGAATTATTACTATTTCTGATTTCATTTTTCATTCATTTTCTTTTCAGAAATACAATAGTCAATAATATTACACAAATGAACTTTTATTATCATATTAAATCTTTTATATTTCAACAATAAATAATTTTTCTTTTTTATTAATATAGAAAAGAGGAAAAAAAAAATAAATCGAATATATTTCTTATTTTTCTTTTAAGATATTTAAAATAAAAACTTATGGCACGAATTGCCGATTTAGCTAATGTATGTTAACTAGTCTATTGTAATATTCTTTTTCTTTTTGTGAAATTAATTTATTTATAGATTGATGAAGTATCGGATCTCAATTCTGAATTTGATAATAATGAAAAAGATGAAAAAAAGTAAAGAATAATTATTATTAAAATCTTACGTGTAAATATTCATACATTTTAGACGAAAACGTAATGATCTTTGTGAAAAAATAACTTTTCATCAAACAACTGGTCTTGCACGTAAAGATGATCGAATACAAAATGCTAATAGGTAGATTTTAATAATTTATTTATCATAAAATTTTTTTTTTTTGTTTTTTAGAGAACGATTTCGTTCACAATTTATGGCAATGAATGCATATGAACGACATAAACGATTAATAAATGATTATGTTCGTTATTATTCAAAAGAAAAATCTTTTGATACTATTTTTAAACGTGATACGTAAGTGAGTTTAGATTCTTATTTTTATTTCTCTAATGTGTTTATTATTGAAAACATTTTTTTGTAAATTCTTAGTTCAAATGATAAAACTGATTTAGATATTATTCGAAGTGAACATAGATTTTTATGGGATGAAGAAGAAGATGAACCAGATGAAACATGGTAATTATATTTTTCATTTTATAATGAATATATTTTTCTTTTTTTCTTAGGGAAAAACGTTTAGCTAAAAAATATTATGATAAATTATTTAAAGAATATTGTATATGTGATCTTAGTCATTGGCAAGAAAAAAAAATTGCAATGCGTTGGCGTATTGACCGAGAAGTTGTAAATGGAAAAGGTAATATCATAGATTTATGTACGACTTCAAAATTTTTTTTTTTTTTGGTGACTGTAATCACGAAGTGTGACTTCAATCTTGAAAGATACTTCGAAGTTCCAGCGTTTTATTATTTTCCACAAATCCGGTTAACTTTAGCAAAAATCTTCTAATTGACATCCTAAGTCATTGCTGATCCTCCATCAATGCTGGCATCTCAGGAGCTGCGAGTTCTTCCGGATTTGGATCCCTAAAAACTTAGACCCATGGCTTTCTACTCGAAACACCTCTAACAATAATAATAATTAATCAATGTTCTTATGTTTATATCAAAGAATTATATTTGAATAGCTATTAATCTAATAAGAGAAAAGATCTTCGGTGTTTACACGCTCTTTTTTCTAATCCGATTCAATGAACTTGCAAAGAGATTTTATATTATCAAAATTATGATTGTTTTATTAGATTTTTTAATTTAAGTATCGTAAATGAATTATGAAATTATATCCTTAGATAAATTTTATATCTAAAGAAAAAAAAATAATAATCTTTTGTTTCATGTATGCAAAACATTTTATCAAAGTTTTTTGTTACTTTAGGTCAATTTATATGTGGTGAAAAACGATGTGATGAAAAGGAGAATTTACGAAGTTGGGAAGTTCTATTTGGTTATGTTGAACATGGAAAAAAACGAGAAGCCTTAGTTAAATTAAGTAAGCAAAAGAAGCAAAAGAATTTTAATTAAAATCTTTGTTTTTTTTTTGTTCAAGGATTATGTCCATCATGTACAAAAAAACTTCATTTTGGTCATAAGTAAAATTTAAAAATTAGAATTTGTTTTTTTTTGTGTTCGTACAATCAAAAAGATTTCTTTTTTAGAGTGAAAGAAGTTGTACCTAAAGTAAAAGAAACAGATTCTGAAGTAACAGAAATTACTGAATCATCATCATCTGTACAAAAAAAGAGTCGTCTTGATAATGATGATGATCAAACAACACTACCAGATGATGGTCAAATATGGTCAAAACCATTAGCAGAAACACGCGAAACAACAAGGTTAATATTTTGATTATTTTATTTTTGTTTATTTTATTTTATTTTATTTAGAGAAGACGAATTCGAAGAATATCTTCAAACATTATTCTTCTAAATTGTATATTTAATTTATCGAATAAACAAACAAGGAAAAACAAACAAACTAATTCTTTAAATTTTGCTTCTTTTTTTTTAAAATTAAACATCTGAACCATTACGTAATTTTCTTTGAAATAATTCATTAAGAATTTCTCCAATAATTAATGAATTTGAATTAGCCGATATAATCCATAATGTAAATAAATTATCAATAGGAAAATATCGACGAAAATATTGAAATTGTTTTTCTTTTGTTATACGATTTGAAAGAATTAAATCTAAATTTTCAATAAGAAATATATTACGTGAATGACGAAAAAATATTCTATATATAAGATAAATTATATCAATTATTGTTATTATTAATAATATTCCAAACCATATCCATAATATAAAATACATTTTTTCAATAAATATATTTATTACAAGTATACATTCAACTGTATATTTATGACGTTCACCTAATTCACGTATTTGAAAATCACATAATGTTATACGTGGAAATAATTTACTTTCTGGTAATGAAAAATCAAAAAATAATTTTTTAAATACATTAAAACCATATTCCATATAATTAATATTATGATAACTAAGAAAATATTGAAGAAATAATATTTGAAAAATTAAATTACATATATAAAGAATTTTAATAAATATATAAAAACAAGCTAAAAATGAACCTGTACGACCTTGACAAAATAAATAACATTGACGATTAATATGTTGAAAACGTGATAAACTTTTACGATTAGGAAGATTTACATATTCTTCATATCGTTGAAGACAATCAGAAATATATTTTATAGCTGATAAAATCAATAGAAAAATAGATTATATATATATATATATTAATAACTATGTAATTTGAAACATACCTCTATTTTGATCTTCATCATTATCAAATGATTCATATCTATTTGATACATTAACAAGATTTCCAATTGATAAACCTATTTTATCATTAAATGATTGCCATATAATACGTGGTAAACTAAAAAATAATGCTTGAAGTAAAAGAACAAAATGAATCCATTGATAATATTTTAATGTTCGTTCACGTCGTAAATTAAAATCTTGAGGAATTATTTGACTTTCTGCTACATGATATGTATTTTGAATAAAACATAATAGATCTGTATAATCTTCATAATTGTCAGTAAACTGTGCTGGAACCCAACATTTTAATGGAGTACCTGTTATCATATATATATATATGATTATTATTTTTTCCTTTTTTTCTTTTTGTATATCTTACCAACATATTGATATGTTGAAATAGCAATGAAAAAACAGATTAATACAGCAACAGTATATCGATTATGAAGACGATCTACAAAAAGATCATCATAGTTGTCTCCATCTTGTTTTTTTCCAGCAAATCTTTTTGCATTATCTATAACTTCAGTAAAATCCATTATACGTGATAATCTATTAATTAAACAAAAAAAAAAAAACATCATAATTATATTTGAAAAAAAGAAATCTATATTAAACTTACCAATGAAGGTCATAACACTGATGGATTTGATTTACACGTAATCGAACAATATAGAATAAATATGTAAGATGTGATCCAATAGCCTGATGCAAACACAAATAGTACAATATGGTCACTGTTTTTTTTGCTTGCTCAAGAAAGAAACGAAAAAAAGAAGCCCTATGTAAATGTAAGATAAAAAGAACGAACGCAAAAGAACAAAAGAACCTTGCCAGACAAATACTGTTTTGATGAATGATAAAACATGAAGAGATTTGATATGTACACAGTACATTCTGTACTATTCTGTTTGCAATAATTAGAAAAAGAAAAAGGGCATGTATTTTGCATTTGTTATGATTAGAATTTATTTTATCAGGATTTTGATAATTATATTGTCGAATTTATATCTCTGTGAATCTATACATAAGTTAATTAAAAAATAAAAACTAATTATAGTTTAGTATTTAATCATATCTTCTCAATAGATGGTTGAGTTTTAAAAGGATATTATCTTAATTTTAAAAAAAAAACAACTTTTATTATTAAACATTATTTAAGTTTTTATCAAAAATATTGAAATGAACTTGGTGTTATTCTCTAAGAATGAGCTATAATCGACAAATTAAAAATAAGAAATTCGTAAATCTCCTGACTAATTTCGAAAAATATCATATCATCTGATATCAGCCTATCTTATTAAGTATAGAATCAGCAATGCTCTAAGTATTTTCTTTAGATTAGACACGTAGTATTCAAATACAGTGCCAAAAGTAGTCAAATTAACGATTGATTATATAACATATTTATTTATCACAAGAGTCACGATTAGAATAGATTTGTATTATATTCGATACGTTTCCTTTTACAAAAAAAATCCTTGTAGACATATTATACTTGTTTCTTTTCCTATAACAAAATTTAATTGGTTTTTTTCTATCTATCTCGTGGGTTACACGATTTACTTTCCGCGGAATTACTTTCCGTTGATTATTTTCCGCGTTAATTGGTTTTTTTTCACAAAATATTATGATTTCTAACGCTGAGAATTTACTTTCCATTGATTAGTTTGAGGAAACGAAATGAGTAGATCAGTCATATGGCTGATCTACTCATTTCATTGCGTCAAACTAATCAATGGAAAGTAAATTCTCAGCGTTAGAAATCATAATTTTTTGTGAAAAAACAAATCGAATTAACACTGAAAATAATCAACGGAAAGTAGTTCCGTGGTAAGTAAATTGCACACCCCGTTATTGCTAATTCTTTTTTAATTAATTGTCGACCTCGAATGATATCACTCGATACATTTATTGCAAAAAATAAATGATGTACAATTGTTAATTGAAAGCGTAGAAGAAGAAGTTGACACATATGTGTTTGAAGAAAGTTTTTCACAAATCTTCTTCCATTATAACTTGTATAACTTTTAGGATTATGATTAGAGATATACGGAATTAATTTTAGTCTCGATGTCGGAACCACGGAAAAGTGAAGTTGCTGAGACCGAGATCGGGACTAAAACAAATTTGGTTCCGCACATCTCTAATCCTGATACAACTTCAATTGCTCTTAATTTTGCTTTATTTATGATACGATATATATCATTTCATTTTTTTCAATATGGTTGAGTTCTATTTAAATTGCTTCCTTTCCTATCGTTATCTGTTTACATAACAGAACATTTGTTAAAAGTACAACAGTTTACAATTTTTAAATTATGAAATTCATCATGATCTACAACATTTTCCTGTATAGAGAAAATTCGATTCTGATCGATTTCCACTTGAATTAATACAACAGAGATATTTTAATACATATATTTCATTTCCTTCTGATCTACGAAATTGTATTGGTATGCAGAGAAATTATACAAAATAAAATAATTCTTCAATTTCATTTAACAACAAGTCAAAGTTATAATATTGACTGAAGAAATAATTCTTCGTTTTGATAATGCACTCACAATCAAATATTGTTCACTTTAAAATAGTATTATTAGTTGCTTGAAATCATGATAGAACCACCGAGAATGAGAGTGATAAACTAGCTTGAAGGTTAGCACGATAATGAAGTTTTCTAACTTGTTATTTTTCCGTGCCATCATGACTTGTGGCAAACAGCTGCTTATACGTATTAGAAACAACAAAACAAAGGTTAATTTAAACAGTGGAGCACAAGCAGACAAAATGCTCTAATACTGCTTACATTTGGAGGAACTAACAAAGTAAAACGAAACGTAATATAGAATATATGTATATCGAAGAGGGCTAGATAATATCTCCCGAAAGCAGGAAATTGTCCCATTTTGAGTAGTGATACTTTTAAAAAAAAACAACATCTCTTACATCAGATGATTCACATTAGAGACAAATCGTTTAATCATTTCTACCTTTTTTTTTTAATCAGAAGTCAAAAAGACTTAAGAAGATATGAATCATATTACTTGTTCATCTTAAGAAGAAATTCTGTAGGCTGAACCATTTTTGTATAAATGAAAATAACTTTCCCATTGATTGGTCTAATTGTCTATTGCTGTACGAATCTGAAATTTTCTTTTTGACTGACGTATGCAGTGACTTTCAAAATTAATCATATACCTGAATAGAGAAAAATTATTTCCAACTAGTATTTGAGATAAATAAAATCTTTATAATAATTATTCTGCAAATGCAAGATCTCTAGAAAATTCCCAAATTAGTTTTTCAGTGTCCAGAACTCGAAAATAAAAACTTCTTTTGGTTACACAGAATGATAGAGAAATTCTCTACAAAATCACACATCTCTGAGCTCTTCATGAGAATTTTTGACTGAATTATATAAGTTTGAAGATAAGTTCAAAAATTCTCCATTGTCATCAACGTCCAAAAATAGGTTTTTTCACCATTTCCTAAAGAAAAAATTGTAGATTCCGTCAAAAAATGTCATAGAAGAGACGTTGCTTTATTGTTCTGTATAATCAAAAGAAATCTTTTTTCAGGTTCTTGATACTGAAAATCTAGATTTGAAGTTTTATAGAGATCTTGAATTTTGAGAATTCTTTGAAAAATTTATTTTCAACAAACCCTTGTTGTAAATAATTATCTCTATTCAAGTTACTATTTTAATTCTTTATGCAAATTACCATTACAGAAAAAAATTGAAATTAAATCTATATAAACCATTTTTGAAGTCACTGTATATTTTTCTGTGCTATTTGTTAATAAAAATTTCCCTCTGATTCCTTTTCCTTGAAATTTATTTATAAATCTAATTCGTGTATATTTATTCATTACTTAGTATATGAAGTATAAACACGTTGTTATAGAAATGTAAAAATACTTGACTGTTTTAATGATGTAACTCCGACATTGACTCCGAAAAAAATCTTCATGATCACTCCGACTCTATTGAAAGTCGATACAGGACTCCTAACACACATATAGAATATCGCATCAGCTGCAGATGTCACGGAAATAAAAACAGAAGGCATCGATTTATCTCGTATATCTGATCGTGTTTGTGATATCATTTGTATGTATCAGTCTGATTATATCGGACACCCACGCATCAAAATATCATTCCTGGTATATACCCAATATGTAACGGTATATCTTCAATATCTCTTATACTATGAGCTTTCCGAGAAATCCTCGAAAAAAAAAACATCTAAAAATTTCATGAAGTGAAAATCGAATATTTACATATTGTATCTCTTGAATGAGATAAAACAAATTTTTACACATTGGAAATTATTCGTAGGTGAGTTGTATAATAGTTTGCTTTTGTTATATATTTACGCGGGCGAAAAAATGTCAACCGTACGAAAAAGAAAAGCATTCATTTTTTGTCATTATAATAACAAAAATATGCTCGAGTAATGGCTCAAAAGTTCGTTCTGATTGCATACCTAACATCAAGTCATTATATCGTATTCCTTCTACGCAAGTATATAATTATTCATTTAGTGAATAATCATTCACCTGTCAATGATGAAATAAAAAACCCAAACACATGTCGAGAATGTGTAGGACATAGATACAAAAAAATTTACATTGACGGTATAGGTATAAAAAGTAAAGGTATTCAAGCAGAACAGAAGAAAAAAAAAAGTACTTGCAAACGTATTTTTCATTATAATTTTTATCGTTTACATTCAACATGCAGTTTCAATTTAACTTGATTAATATTACATTTGCTTGTCTATTGATCTTTATTTGTTTTATTATTAATAATAAAATTGATGCTCGAGCATTACGCAGAAATGTACATGATGCTGCTATACAAAACATACAACAATTTCCACATTTGGTTCTCCGAAAAAAACGCGATACATTAACCGACTTAGATGATGATGATAATGTATTTCAACAAGATGAACGTTATTTAGACGATGAAGTTGCTGATACTGAAAATAATGTTGATGACCGTGAACAGCTCGACAACGACAGGTCTTTTTCATCTGAAGGAGATAATCAAGCACTTAGATTTTTGAATCATAATGATGATGTAGATTCACCTGACAACAGTGGTAGAGACGCAACTGATTTAGATGAAGAATCTGCGTAAGATTATTCAAACAAATCAGATGAATAGAAAAAAAAATAAAATATACAATAGTTCAATTAAAAATTATAATCATTGATAATATTGACAGAATCAATATATTTATTAATTTCAACTAATTTATATTTATATTTAACTAATCATCATTATATTAAAATATTTTATTTTATTCTCATGTTTATTCTACTAACATATTAAATGAAATTAAAAAAAATTAAAATTAAAAGCATGTATTAAGATATTTTATGAAACAATATTGTAAATATTTTATATTTAATTAAATTCTCTTTCTAAAAATTAATTAACTCATTCTATTTAAATTATATTGGATGTGTAAAAATATTTTTCTACGGAGAGTAACGCTGTGATTTCAAATAATAACAAATTTTATGCTAAATTAAGGGGATACCTCAATACACTCTCAA